CATTTTTGTAGCTCTCCATACAAAGTTTGGCACATATTTGAGCCGAGCGATTCCTTCCCCTCCACTCCCCCACCCCACCCCACCAAAAAATGCTCTGGTTTTGAACCTGTTTTGGTTTGGCTAATTTGCCTGTCAGCTGCAGAGGTGGTGTGGACCTTATTTTTCCTCCTGCCTTCTGCCCCGCAGCGAGATGACATGACAACCCAGTTTAACCAGATGAGCTTAAGCCGGCAGTCGTCGGGAGACAACCCCGAATCTCCTTCTGGTCCTGTCTACCCCTCGCCCATCCTGCAGCAGCCTGCCCAGCAGACGGGTTACATCATGGCTTCTCCAAGCCAGCAGCTTCCCCCGGGGGGCTTCACAGGTTCAGGTCCACCAGTATCCCAGCAAGTGCTGCAGCCACCACCGCCGCCACCGCCCCCCCAGGGCTTCGTGCAACAACCACCGCCACCTGCTCAGGTAAGCACAACCTCCTCTGCCAATTTGGCACGGTGCTCGTTACCACATCAGAAAGAAAATATTAAAAATTAAAAAAAATCATCCAGATTCTCGGTGGGTTTTTTTTTTTATTTTTTTCCTTGGTAAAAGCTTGGCAGGATTTGAAGATGATTCAAGGATTGGAGCATCTCCCTTATGAGGAGAGACTGAGGGAGCTGGGACTCTTTAGTCTGGAGAAGAGAAGGCTGAGGGGAGACCTTATCAATGCCTACAAGTATCTCAAGGGAGGGTTGAAGGAGGAGGGAGCCAGACTCTTTTCAGTGGTTCCCAGTGACAGGACGAGGGGCAACGGGCACAAGTTGGAACATAAGAGGTTCCACTCAAATATGAGGAGAAACTTCTTCACGGTGAGGGTGACAGAACCCTGGAACAGGCTGCCCAGGGAGGGTGTGGAGTCCCCTTCTCTGGAGATTTTCAAGACCCGCCTGGATGCAGTCCTGAGTAACATGCTCTAGCTCTGGGCAATCCTGCTTCAGCAGGGGAGTTGGACTAGATGATCTCTATCGTCCCTTCCAACTCTAGAAATTCAGTGAAATTCAGTGAAATTCAGATTTTAGGCAGCAGGAAACTCACAAAGCCTCAATCGGTTCCTGGGTTTCAGAACTTCCTTCCCTATCCTCAAACCTTTTTGCAAACATATGTTCCTACTCCAGCACACATCTGTCCATGAATGTGAAGGAGGAGGATGAGTAAATATCCATAGTCTTTTTTTTCCCCGTATATGTACCAAAAGAACAACATGCACATCAGCCCAGGTAGTCATTAATCATATTTAATTGACTTGGAACATGTGAGATGTCACAGATCAGTAATTTTAACTGTCTTCTTGAAGACTGATTATGTTTTACTGTTCACTACCAAACATCTCTGCTTTTCTCCTGGGTACCTTTGCAGAATATTGAAAGTGATTACTGTCAAGAAGTAAAATGCACGGATGATTTTCTGGACCATTTTCAAGGCATACACTTGAAAAGGCCAAATTTCTTTATCCAATTATAGATAACTTCATTTAAATTCTACTTTAAAATGGTATTAATAGTATTTCTCCTGTTTTCGTTTTGCCCTTTGGAAGAAAATGTATAAAAATAAAATTAAAAAGCACCATTTCCTTTAATGTAGAAGTAATGTAAGCCTTACTGTTTTTTTGGTTTGGTTTATTTTGTTTTTTTAGTTGTTTGCCACTTCTTACTGAATATCTCCAATTGTGTTTGTTAATAAAAGAGATCTGAAGGCTACTGGATGCTCACATCTCAGAGGACTGTGATGTCCATAGTTTCTGTAGTTAGAAATGATGCAGCTGTTTTTTCTGAGAGAAGGCTTGCAAAAAAGCATTTTTAAGGAGCTGAAGTTCAATAGAATGCCACTTATTTTTTTTTAATTGAAAATACGGCTAGGAAAAAAAAAAAAAAAAAGATTTCACTGTTTGCCAAATGTAGCATTTTAAAAATAATTTTGGGAGGAGACAATGATCTGAAGAGCAGAATTCCCTGATGAATCCGTCTCCCGATCCAGACTGTCTCAGATCCCCCCTCAGCCTTCTCTTCTCCAGACTAAAAAGACCCAAGTCCCTCAGCCTTTCCTCGTAGGAGAGATGCTCCAGGCCCCTCATCCTCTTTGTAGCCCTCTGCTGTCCCCTCTCCAGCAGTTCCCTGTCCTTCTGGAACTGGGGAGCCCAGAACTGGTCCCAGTGCTCCAGATGGGGCCTCCCCAGGGCAGAGCAGAGGGGCAGGATGACCTCCCTCTGCCTGCTGCTCACTCTTTTTGATGCCCTCCAGGACGCCATTGGCCTTCTTGGCCACAAGGGCCCATTGCTGGCTCATGGTCATCCTGCTGTCCACCAGGACTCCCAGGTCTTTCTCCTCAGAGCTGCTCTCCAGCAGGTCAGCCCCCAACTTGTCCTGGTGCAGGGGGTTCTTCCTCCCCAGGTGCCTCAGTCTGGCCTAGTGTTACTTTGTGAAGCTGTTTTCCCCCATTAATGCTTGCTGTGGTGCTACTGGAGAGGCAGATGAGCTTCTTCAGACGATAAATGATGAGGAGGTACCTTTTCATATCTCGACTGCTGTAGGACGAGCACCGTACTGGTGTGTCTGATGGCTATTGTGTCTCCATCCGTACCCCAAGTACAGTACGTATGAGTGCTGTCCTCCTAAGTTGTTACAAGGTGGAAAGTTATTGAGAGCAGAAGAATATCTTTTGGGTTTGCAACAACTTCAGTTATTCCAGCGGGGAACGGGCTGTCCTCAGGGTCAGGGAGGGGGAGCAGCAGCTTCTCTGCACCCGCAGGTGGGAACTTCTGATGGACATTTCAAGTTTTAATTCGTTCTCTTCAGCCCTAGAATGTGGCGCGGTGATTTGGATACTACTTGTAGCTCGTGTATGGCAAGTAGAGGATCCCTCTATAAAAAGTTGAAATAGTAATGGGAAATAGTAATTCCTCTGCCCTAAGAGCTCGGCTTTCTGCGCTTTCTTTCTCAGCTAGACCCCCGACTCCCTGTCCTCCCTGGGGGAAGGCACCACTGTGGTGGTGGCTGTTGGCCACCTTCTTACTCTTTTGGGCTTAGATGCAACCCTAAGGCTGCTCTCAGATGCCAAAGCAGGTGGTTTGAGGCAGCCTCTAAGAAAAAATAAAAAAGGGGGGCAGGCTTTCTGCGCTTTCTTTCTCAGCTAGACCCCCGACTCCCTGTCCTCCCTGGGGGAAGGCACCACTGTGGTGGTGGCTGTTGGCCACCTTCTTACTCTTTTGGGCTTAGATGCAACCCTAAGGCTGCTCTCAGATGCCAAAGCAGGTGGTTTGAGGCAGCCTCTAAGAAAAAATAAAAAAGGGGGGCAATACAAATGGTAACGCATGCAAAACGTTATGTGATGCTTTAATCAATGCAATCAATGTAAAAGCACTTTTATATCTTAAATGTTGCTATTGAATTTATACTGGTGAAAAAGAGGCTTGACTAATGGCTAATTACTTCCTGTAAATGCCTTGCTGATAAGGTTCTAGTGGGTTGGCTGTGAGGCTCTCTATGCTGTTGGAAAATACCGGAGGAAGGCAAACTTGGGTGGAGGTCCTGTGGGTATGATCATTTCCTTTGGGAAAGGAGGAGAAAGAAATGCTCGCCAAGCCTACGAGCCCAAAGGTACTGCATTTAAATTATTAGCCTTTGCATTAAAGTCCAATTAGACGTGGCTCCACAGCTGCTCTCCGAGATTCTGTCTTCCAATCTGTACCAAAGCAGAAGCAGACTGAGTTAGGAATGACATGCCTGGGAAGGGTTGAGGGAGGACCCTTCGCAGTTCTTTTGCTGCCTCTTTCCTTACAGCTGTTCCCCAGCTTGAGAACAGAGTCATGATTTAATAACCTGAAAATAATGACCTTTGTTCGGCCGATTGGAAAAAAAAAAGGAAAAACAAACTGAAACCCAACTAATACTCTGGGATCGCTGAAAGGGACTTTTAGCAGCAAATTCCCGATTTCTTGATTGCTTTCTGTATCACAAACAGCAGGCATACATCTTTACTTTCTCTATTATTATTCTTCTGTTCTCAATTTTCTTTGCTTACTGATGTTGGTTTTTTTATAGCATTTATGGGCCTGGGTAGTTAGCAAGGGTCCACATAGGGTTTTTGCAGCACACTCTCTGTGGTACGTGGTCGCTGCTCTGCCCCTGCAAATGGAGCAGTTGGGAAAGCCGCAAGGCCTACGCCAACGGGAAAGCGTACGCTCCCTTTCAAGTTATTTTCACCTCTGACTCATTCTTTCTGGCAAATGATGTCCAAAAATGTGATGGCATGAATAGTTAGCAAGGGTCCACATAGGGTTTTTGCAGCACACTCTCTGTGGTACGTGGTCGCTGCTCTGCCCCTGCAAATGGAGCAGTTGGGAAAGCCGCAAGGCCTACGCCAACGGGAAAGCGTACGCTCCCTTTCAAGTTATTTTCACCTCTGACTCGTTCTTTCTGGAATCTGTACTGGCAAAATGATGTCCAAAAATGTGATGGCATGAATTCTTGGAGCATCTGGGAGAAGTAATACTACACGTTCAGGGAATTTTCACCTGAATTAATTTGGTGTCGTCATCGATTTTGACTGTCTTTTTGTAGAAGCCCCCTCCTAGAGAGTCCGTAGCTACCCTAAGACAAAATCTTGATTCATAGCATGTCTCCTCTAGGAAACTTGCATGAAAAAGGCTGAGGGGGGCATTTTTTTTTTTTTTAACTGTTATTATAATTATTATGGAGGATGGAGGGTCAGGGCAGAGAAAAATTCTTAAAAAATGACTAATCCCAGTCAGTCAGATACTGGGAAGAAACAGTACCTCTCTGGGTCCATACATCTCTGTGGTTTCTTTTGTCTTCTCTCCCATTTATGCAGCTGTAGCTGCCATTAGCAGTAGTGTCAGTGTCACTAATCATCTGGATGAAGGTGTTAATCCGAACCTAACTGGTGGTCAGTGATGTTAAGAGAAGGTAGAATACCTGTCTGACGGCAGAATCAAGCTGTAAGTCAGTAGGGGGGTAGGTTAGGAAAGTAAAATCCACCTGCAAGATGTATAGAATTCTATTCCTACTATGAGGAAATAAACAACATACCTGTGAATTTAAGGGATGCTGCTAGAGAGTGGTCCAAGGGAGACCCAGTCTGGTAATAGGTTTTGAGCTGTACATGGACAGAACAAAGCAGAAAGCCAATGCTGTATGGAGTCTCCATCTGTCACCTAGAGAAAAAGCATGTTAGGAGGAGGAAAAAATAATGCCTGTTAGTGTCATTTCGTGAGTGTCTCTGAAGTGATGTGCCTAGTCCTGTTACAGTTTAAGTTAAGAGAATGATGTATTTGAGAGATGTGTTGGAATGCTAAGCCTATAAACAAGGAGGGTATTCATCTTCAAAATAAGAATATCCAAGGGGTATCATCTGTCAACTCTTTCCATGGTAATCATTAAAAAGGAGATATTTTTCACAGTGTAAAGGATTAAAATCAAAAAGCTATGCTTTTTAGACTAAAGAAGACAATGTGTATTTAGGTTATAGTCTTAGAAGGGCATAGTTTTTAATTTTTTATTTATTTATTTTTAGGATGACCATATAGCTGGGTTGGTATGCTTGTCAGTCTGGTAGAAACTTCCTGGTTCTGTAAATGAAATATGTTAAACAAGGAAAAGGTCCGAGGTTAGATTGTATGTTTACATGGGAAAGTAATTAAAGTATAATTTGGCATATCACTAAGCTGCTCCAGAAATGTAATGTTTTTTCTTGAAGAGCACATGAGCAGAGGTGTTAGTAACACTGACGTAATGAGAAACTAAAAAATTCAAGAGGGTCAGAGTAGGTGATGTAAGTGATACTTGTTATCTCTGATACCTCTAATTCCACTGTTCGCTAAAGCAATATCAGAAAGGACAAATAACATGTTTCAACTACTGACGCAGAGATGAATTCAAGATAAATGAAAATGGGTCCTTCCAAACTCTTCAACCATGAAAGACCTTTTTTATCCGTCTCTATGTTTTACCCAAAGCCCTCTCTTTAACGTCTGAGCTCTGAAAAAAGAAATAAAACAAAACAAAGAACAAACCCAAAACCGCACCTCTTCTTTGCATCACGTGTGCATGATTACTAGCAAATTCATCCATTAATCTTCCTAAATGAAATTATTTTTTTTCCCAATGCTTTTACTGCTAACATTTTTCAGGCTGATAGATTGCACTCAGATAAGCTTCTAAATGGGTATATAACAAATGTATTCCAATGAATTGAGAAAATGAGAGAAAGGGAGAAAGCCCATTGACTAACTCTGAGGTGTTGTCTGTCTTGTAAAAATAATTACCTGTTTTCAAATTACTCTGAATGCTTCAGTGTACATACATGTTTTTTGTGCTAAGCATGTTCAGCTATAAACCTCCCTTCAAAACCTATATTCTTTAGGTTATGTTTCAAAGTTAATACCTACAGAATCTTCCCATAAGGAGTGATTCACATTGTTCTCATATGCTCGTATATTTTCAAATATCTAGGGGCTTCTCTGCGCAAGGAAAATGAGGAAGTTGAGGGTAAATCAAATAAAATTAAATCCTTTAAGTGAGATTAAGCTGCAGCCAGGAGAAGTAAGAGTATTTCCACAGGGGTTTAATATTCTTTAATTTGTAGAATACAGTATTAGAAATTAAAGAATATCTGAGAGGATGTCTACTCTGTTCGCCTCCTCCAAGGCAGGATCAGCTATATGCATGACTTCACTTGAGCTAAGTCTTACCACTTCTTTTAAGTCTCCTGTTGTAGAAGTTTCCACAAGATGAGTTTATCACACTAAACTTTCCTGATCCCCTATTTACACTGCTATGATGTTTAAAGAGTGATTTTCACACCTAACATGTCTGGGTCAACTTTCTGATATCTTGTGGCTTTTCTTTGCAGAGAATCAAATTCACAGTGGTTTTGTCCATTTTACAAAGGCATTTTGTTTTTATTACTTCAGTCTCTAACAAAACAAATGACTTGGAGGCAGGCTGTAACCATTAGGTATCACTTGGTATTGTCTGGAGGGAGGATAGCTGACAACAATGAGCCAGCAATGTGCCCTTGTGGCCAAGAGGCCAATGGGATCCTGGGCTGCCCAGGGAAGAGTGTGGCCAAGAGGTGGAGGGAGGTCATTCTCCCCCTCTGCTCTGCACTGGGGAGGCCACAACTGGAATCCTGCCTCCAGTGCTGGGCTCCCCAGTTCAAGAGAGACAGGGAACTGCTGGAGAGAGTCCAGCGTAGGGCAACAGAGATGATGGAGGGATTGGAGCATCTCCCTGATGAGGAGACGCTGAGAGAGCTGGGGCTCTTGAGCCTGGAGAAGAGAAGGCTGAGGGGAGACCTTCTTCATGCTTCCAAGGATCTAAAGGGTGGGTGGAAGGAGGATGGAGCCGGACTCTTTTCAGGGGTTCCCAGTGACAGGACGAGGGGCAACGGGCACAAGCTGGACCATGGGAAGTTCCACTCCAATGTGAGGAAGAACTTGTTTGGGGTGAGGGTGGCAGAGCCCTGGCAGAGGCTGCCCAGGGAGGGTGTGGAGTCCCCTTCTCTGGAGATCTCCAAGCCCCACCTGGATGCTCCTGAGTGATGTGCTCTGGGCAACCCTGCTTTGGCAGGGGAGTTGGACTGGACGGTTTCTGTAGGTCCCTTCCAACTCTGACAATTCCGTGATGATCTGTGACAACATTTTCCAGTTGAAACGTTCTGGTCTTCCTGGTAGTTGTTTAAACCTGGCTGATGTTATCTGGGGATGGGGAGAAGAAGTAAAAAAAAAAAAACAAAAAAACCCCAAACTGTGTGATTTCCGTTGACTCGAGAAAATGAATAGACCTGGAAGGATGAATAGGTATTCAATCTCTTGATTGACAGGTGATATTGACTGTCAGTTGGTCTGGGGCTTTCACTTCACCAACACTACTGAGCTACTGAGTCCAGTTACCCATTCAGTAGTCTTCTACTTCCTAATTATCCATCCATACCCTCTTCTTGCCTAGTCTTTTGTATCTATGCCTGTTCTTGTTATTTGTCATCTCTAGGAAAATTTCTGATCTCTCTTACACTGTGCTACTAGTATACAAAACTATGCAGTTACCTTTACTCTGCTAATACTTTACTTTATGGGTAATCAAGTTGAATAAGCTGTTCCAGGAGCATTTCCTCCGTGCAAATAAAAGTGGCAAAAATTCTTATTTTTGTATGGAAAAAAAAAACCAAAAGCATTTTGTGTGACTGTGCATGTATCTGAGCAGGATAAACGCCACACACAAAGAAAAAAAAAGTGCCTGATTTATAAAGAAATGCTGACAGATGTGTCAGGAGTCACAGTAGGAGCAAGGCTCCCAAGTAGGGCAAGGAAGCTGGGGGTGTTGAGCCTGGAGAAAAGGAGGCTGAGGGGAGACCTTCTGGCTCTCTCCAACTCCCTGAAAGGAGGGTGTAGCCAGGGGGGGTCGGTCTCTTCTCCCAAGTCCCAGGCCATGGGACAAGAGGAAATGGCCTCAAGTTGCCCCAGGGGAGGTTCAGATTGGAGATTAGGAAAAGTGTTTCCATAGAAAGGGTGATTGCACATTGGCCTGGGCTGCCCAGGGCAGTGGTTGAGGCCCCATCCCTGGAGGGATTTAACAGCCGGGTTGACCTAGTGCTTAGAGACATGGTTTGGTGATGGTTTTGATCAGAGTGAGGTTGATGGTTGGACTGGATGATCTGAAAGGTCCCTTCGAACCTGGATAATTCTATGATTCTAAGCCTTTGCCCTCTGCAGTTTGTTGATACCATACGCTGCTGAACTGTCACGTACCCACAGAATCCACTCCAGCTGGAAATGAAAAATTTTGGGTGCTTTGAACTTGCCAAGGGTCAATTGAAAACTGTTCAGCTCAAATGTCTCAGTAATGGTGGTGGAGGATGTATAGGGGGAAAAAAACTTCAGCTCCTGTCACCCTGAAACTTCCATGTTGACCTGTGGGGTGATGTAGTACATGTTGCTCTATAATGACAATAATAGAAAAAAGAAGCCCACCTGGCAGAACTTGCTGACTCAACACCTACCCTCAGCTCCTGCAAGAGAACGGCTATGATTGGTTTTTTGAGCTGTAATTGTATTGACACCAAGTGTGAGAGAGGCTTTACAGGGAAAGGTTCATGTAAGGAAGGATGCAGCTGTTAAAACAAAAGCATGAATTTAATAATAATTTCTTACAAGTGTTAAGGGCACACATGGTCCATCTTTCCCTCTATCTCACTTGTATGTATTTTTACTCCAGGCCATTCTTTGCTTCAAAACAACCGTTTTCTCCAGAGTTCACTTAATGGTTCACCATGCTGTCTATACGTATTATGTTGATATGGAAGGTGTTTGCATCCATTTTTCTGCAGCATTTGATATTTTACTGTGATTTCTTTGCTATATATACAAAAGCTCTTTATGCATCTTGTATGTTTTTTGTGTCTTTCAACTAAAATTCTCCTGTTTCTTAAAGTGTTTGAGAAGAAATATGGGAACCGATAGCCCTTTTCCTGGCAAAGCTGAAAGCAAGCAGCAGTTCTTGAAGAGACACAACACGAACCTCTCCTCTTAATTACTGTTAACCACTAATTTGCTTGACTCGAACTCTTTTTCCCCTTCCAGTTTTGTTTTATTTTATGAATCTTTGATCTTTAGAGTCCATAGTTAGTTGCTGTTCTCTTTCTTTGCAGATGCCAGTGTATTATTACCCATCTGGTCAGTACCCTACCTCAACAACTCAGCAGTACAGACCCATTGCCTCAGTTCAGTACAATGCACAGCGGAGTCAACAGATCCCACAGACTGCACAGCAAGCAGGTATTCACATCCTTTACTCTTTTCTTCAGGTGCTGGTGGTGACTTTGCTGGTGAAACCTGTTGGTTGTGTTTTAGTTTTTGAATCTGAGCAGCAGAGGAGAAAACTGGTCTCTCTTCTGTTGGAAAATACGGTGAAAATTGCAAATTGGGAAACCCATTTCTTGGAGATACCGAGCAATGGAAGAGCAGAGGTTGCGTTCTCCACCACTGCATGTCCTCGGTGTCCATGTTCCACATGAGGAGGGTGCACAGAGAGAGGCGGGAGGGGATGGATGTGAGCAGTCACATCACACGTTCAAGCCAACTCTTGAGATTTGTCCTTCATCACGCAAACTCCCTGAATGCTTGTACGATTCTATGTGGTGGACAGGTTTGCAGTGATGCAGAAGGGACCAGTTGTGCTCCACCACCTTTTGCTCTCCCTGACCTGGAGGAGCGATCGGGTGGTCCATGTGGTTGGTGCCCCTCAAGACCAGCTTCCTACAGCGACGTGCAGCTGGAAGGGGGGCCGTTACACTGTAAGAGAGTGAGTAGCAGGTCTCACAGTGAACCGGTCTCTTTTCCTGCTGTGTCATGCCACTCCTGAGGACACCAGAGCCAGAGGGACGTAGGCAGAGTTGGGCTGGTGCGTGTTGAGGGGAGGGCAGGGGTTGAGCTCATGAAAGGCTCCTTGCATTTTAAGGGAATAAACTCTCTTCTGGGTTTGGAGCTATTTTATTTTACTTTTAAGTTGTTGATTGTGTGATTCTTTAGTGCACACCTCCCCTCGTAGGGTCTCCAAGATGTGTGTGGGGGGTGTTTTTTCAGTAGGGCTTGCAATTACAGACATGCAAGGTAGGACAAAGCATTCCTCTTTCTGTCTGGGTTTGGCAGAAACCCTTCTGAATGGCAAAGCAGGTTCCCTGCAAAGGCATTGATACAAAAGCCTTTTAAGATGCAAGTCAAGAGCCCAGACGGGGGACAAGAACAAGACTTAAAGACTTATGGGGTCCTCCAGCCCATCAGCCTGTCCCTGTGATGCCACTGCTGGCAGTTTTGTTCACACTCTTTCCGGTGCTCAGGGAAACAAAGACACAGCAAACACAGCTGTAACTAAGCAATTGATTGCTTTTTTTTTTCTGTTTTTTTTTTTTTTTTCTTTTTAAGCTGCTCTATGTCCTAATAAAATGAGTGTTTTGGTCAATGTCATGGTGGCTGACAGGATCTGCTTTCATAACTTTGTATTTTTACATGCCTGAGAGAGAAAGGGGTGAGGTATTGCTCAAAGATCATCTGTCTCTTCTGACTTCTCCTGCCTAAGAGTCTGGTACCATATTTATAATCTCTATCTAGTGGGCCTTTGAACCTAAGTGCAAATCAACTTAGATGACATTATCTGGGTCTACTGTGTTGTTATAAAACCATATCTATCAGTTTAATGCTACATCCGTAGCATAGTGGAGATTATGTTAAATGAAGTGCACAAGAGATGGCCTCAAGCACTTGAGTGATGTTCTGGAAAATATCCAGCTATTTGATCTTGAGGAAACCCTGGTTTTAAAAATACATTGTCGCAGAGAAGCAGTTACATTTGAGTACAGACAATGCAGAGATGCAAATGCTAATTTTGTTTCTGTGTTTACTGAGTTGTTTTTCTTACATGTTTGGAAAACACGAGTCAAGGAGTTTGTGTACAATCTCTAGCACGTCAGTCTTCTCCTGCAATTCGCTCTTTCAGCTGCCTGCTCAGTTTGAAACATTATTCTTATCTCTTGTTTGAAAACGAAAACATTGTGACTACGGTTTAGGCTCCCTGCTGTGGCGATGATTTTAAGCGTGGAGCAATTCTCAGATCTTGAGCCTTGGCTGAGAACAGATTCCTCAAGCTGGTTCATCCCTTTGGGCTCGGATACATCCTCTCCCATAGCTGGTGTCCGAGCGTGTGATGGGCATGTTGGGAAGCAGCTTGCGGTTTCCTACAGGTTTTTTATTGCAGATGGTGAAAGGATGGTTCAGATTTATGTTCCGCTGCATCCCTTGGCATTTGGAAAGTAGCTAGCTTTCCAAAATGTCACATAATTTGTACTGAAATAAAAGAGAAATTGAAGTATGGGAAAGTATACTATTTATGCTACAGATTTATTGCAGGGAGTTCACTGTAATGATTTCAGTGATGGTTTCAGGTGGTTTCATGCCCAGCGTCGCTGCATTTTTCTTTTCTTCCCGTGAGCCTGCCCACACACGTACATTTTGCTCCTTCTGTGCCCTGTGGCCTCAGCCTACCTGCAAAATCCTCCTCTCTTTTGGTTCCTCTCCAATGCCCGGTAGCTGCTTGCTGGGCAGGAGACAGTGTTTAGGGCACCGGAGCAGATTGACCGGTGGCACCTGAACTGCAGCCTTTTGACAGGGGGACAGGTGAGCTGGGGCATGTCTCTCCTCTTTCAAGGAGGAGATTTTTATGATTTTTATGAGACTTTAGAAATGTTATGTCTTTGCAGCTTCTATCTCTCTGTCAAACATGATGGAAATTATCTGACGAGCTCAGAAAGTTACTCTGAGGGTTATTTGAGGGAAAGCCGGCAGAGTAATCTCACTCATTTTTCCTTCAGAAACCAGTTTTAAAAAACAAACAAACACAAAAACAGCGCAAAAAACTTCTAAATCTTCCTAGAAACTTGCACGTGACTGGAAAACAGCAATCAACAAGCGAGTTTCCCTTCCCACGCAGACTCAGCTTGGGATCCACGCGTGAGCAGGTTGTGCAGGAGCCCGGGATGACGAGGGGCAGGAAAATGAAGACGTGAAGGAGAAACAGAGAACGAGGCGGGGAACCAGATGGGAAGGAGGGAGAGGGAAAAAAAAGATGATTTCTGAAACACTTTCCCCAAAGACCTCGCAACACTTGCTGCTGCGGGGAGAGGACGGCTGCAGCGCCGGCAGGGAGCTCGTACGGCAGCGTGAAGAGGGAGGCAGCCTCAGCCCTGGCAGCTCACAAAGTGTTTTATTAAAATTTAAAAAAAAAAAAAAAAAGATTTTATTAAAATTTTAAAAAAAAAAAAAAAAGTTTGCCTGCTTGGAGGAGCTTTTGGAAGCTTTCAAAGCAGCAGCAAGGAGGTTCGGATCTTACTTTTGGGGCTGCAGAGGTCAAAGTTTGATCTAATGCCAGCAATTTGTTTTCATTTTTCTTCGAAAAGGTCTCTTCAGGAGCGGAGCAATATTGATGACTTTTACAGCAAACAGCTAAAGTAAAATGTCAGCACAGCATCTGTGGTAGCTTAGGGAGCCTGTACTCTCTTGTGGCTCTGGAAGGAGAGCAATATTAAGTTAAAATGGCTCCAGGGCAGAAAAAAAGATGAGCTCACCTAAAATTAGATTAGAGCTCTGGCAGCAATAAATCAGTTGGAGAGAAGGAGGAGAACTTTCTTGTGTGTTTATTTACCTTGGGGTTTTTTTATTTTTTTTCTTTAAGTGCTGGCTTGTATGAGAACGTAAGTGACCCGTTCCTAGGAGAAACTTGGTACAAAGAGTGTTGGCCATGAAGATTTTATAAAAACCTCTGCCATTTGAATTATGTTCGTTTCTGTTTGAGGCAAAATTTGGTATCTGAATGGCGTGGTAGCATGGTCTGTAAAGAGAAGTACTTTAATTTCACACAGATAAATACCATCGTTGTTTTTCTTTTGTGCATCTTCTGCACCATCCTTGTGTCCAGTCCTGGTTTTTCAAAGTGTGGCTGTTGAGTGGGGCCAGGGTCCAAGCTGGTGTCTCTCCCACCCTGGCACACGTAGGACGTTGTAGGTGGATTCGTAGGACGTGTTCAGGCAGCTGTTCTGCAAAGCAATATGCTCATTTTTCAAACTATTTGTTCATATTGCTGTTGGTCATTTCTGCATCTATAACAGATACTTAAGATAACGGTGAAATGCCCAATTCTGTAACCACAGGGAAGAGAGTATTATTTCGGTATTCCCCTCTAGCAGTATTCTGTAAATTGCATGCTTAGCATCATCAGTATTTCATTCTTCAGTAATTATCTCTAAATTGATAGTTTCAAAAGCTTTCAATCCTAGTTACTGTGTTTGAATAGAAAAATAGAGATATATTGATGACAGATCAGTAACGATTTCTTTTTTATCACGATAGAAGAAGAGGCCAGCAGAGTGTTACTTTATATCTGTGTCTCTGTATTTTCTTTCATTATAGCAAATTCTGCAGATTTTTCATCTTTAAAATCCTTCATAAACATGAGACAGATAAGTACATGAGTATTACTTTGGGATATGCAACTGTTCTTATTGCCATTCACAAATGAACAAGCTGCAACAAATTACATGATGTTTTTCCTACATTGTTGTGTGTCTTCCAGATAATTTCACAGCACGACAGAAATTTTATGGATGGGTAAAATAATCTTTAGATTCGTGTTTGGGCAATAGTTCTACAAGGCAGTTAGATCACAGAATTGTAAGGTAAAAATCCGTGGCGTGTGTTTTGCATCAGTAATGAAGATCATCTTTTGAGATTAAAGCTAGACCTATGGCATTTGGTTGAAAAAAAACTTCAGTCAGAAGTTTGCACTGTAATATTTCCAGAGAAGATAAAGTGGTATTTGGCATAATTGGATGGTCTTTAATTCCTGCAATTAATGTAATGATTTTAGGATTTCTCATTTGAGAATCAACAGATGTTGCCATTGTAACTTTTTTCAGTGCCCAGATTGCACAGGAAGGCTCAGATTGCGTAGGAAATCTCTGCTTTTTCCTACAAACAGAATAGTGACTTGTGTGCAGTAGCACCACAGGCAAAAGGAAGTTGTTACATGCGGAAAGCATAGATCTGAACGCTGCCTGGATGTGGAGTCCATTCCTAATGAGCATCCATGGATATTCTGTAAGCAGCAAATGTTTGTCTTGAGAGAAAGGTAATATTTCTGGTGGGGTACTGTGTTTTTACAGCTTCCAGTAAGGAAAAGAGGTGATAGTCTCTTTAATGCATCCCTGAAACAAATCTTAAGCGAAGAA